CCGAGAATTTTGAATTATTTCAAAAATAAACGCCAGTGCCTATTAAAATAACCAAAAAAAGTTTTGAAGTCTATTTAAAACTATTTTTTTGACAAGATTTGATAAAGATTTGATCAAATTGTCTAGCAATTCTTCACTAAGTTTTATCATGACAATAATAAGAAAATAATTGCTTAAAACATCCTCGCCACGCCGTCAGTTATTGTGCCTTAGCATATAGCTCGCGGAGTGAAAAGTTTCATAGCGCGGAGTAATTCATTCGAGAGTAGCCCGCCGACTCAAATAATTGTTTTTATAGTAGCCCGCCTCGCGGCGTCAAACTCGCGGAGTCAAAAGAAGTATGCCTAAAAATTATTTATCCAAATTCAATTTACACCCAACAACGAGTAAACTTTTACAGCCCTACTTCTTGTCATTTTTAATGGGTAGTCTCTATAAAAAGTTGGCTTTTTTGGTAAGGGGTTTAGCACCTTAACCGCATTTTCAGCATTAATTTAGGAAAAATTAAGCGCAAAATGATTCGGAACTTAAAATATTTCTGTCCTATTTCTGGTGGATATTTTAAGTTTTCAAATTTTCAATACTTCGTCCAACTGGTTGGTTTACTGATTTAAATTCAATTGAAAATAAAACAATGGGTTTGAATTGTTGAGAAAATTTGCCTTCAATTATCAGTTTGGTTGATTTGTGGGAAGGTAATAAAAATTTCAAAACTGGTTTCTCTCTGATTGAGTGGGATATCAGCATGGCTCTAGATGTATGGTAAACAGAAAATAATATTTAATTTTTTTCAAAATATTTTAAAAAATCAAAAAGTAATTTTTCAACTGATTAGTTAACTTCATAATCACTCCTAATTTTTGATTGCTTTTTTTCATAAACTCTTACAGTGGTAATAATTTTCTTTAAATTGCAAATAAAAACATATTTTTTACTCATTTAAAATAAAGTATCATTTAATCGTTTTAAACTTATTTAAATATGAAACAATTTTAGATTGGAATCAAAACTCTTCGTGTTGCTAATGATTTACTAGTTTTTGAGCTTTCTTAGGGTTATATAGTGATGTCAGCAGCAACAAGGCCATATTCAGAAAAAATGCAAAAATTTTACACTGTTAAAACTGAACAAAAATTTGCTTCATATCTAGTGTTGACTTTGGATTTGAAGGGAACTTGAACAAGATAGGATGTCCAAAGAAGAAGCATAAAATTTTCCAAATTTAAGTAGAAAAATCTTGCCTACCGAAAGACTTTAACTTAGCTCCGTTCAAATCTTTCCTCGTCCATCAGACCCATTGGCTTTTCGTATTAGCCTTTTCAAAAATAATTTTTTCCCTCTTTGTCCACATCGTAGGTTTAAACTATATTTAGCTTCTAGTCACAATCTAGACGAGGAGTAGAAGGCAATTTTAGTTACGCTATGACAAGCTGCAAAAATGCAATGTAGATGACATGTGTCAGTGATAAGAATTAGTTTTTTTTATAAGCACATCAAAATCAGAGCTGAGTACATCGGGTAGATCGAGGAAGGAGTCGACCCTATTAGCGGTTTTGAATTTGATCAACAATCTATTCGCTGCCATGAGATGAAAATGATCTGAACTGATTGATCAAATGATTGATCAGTTCCATATACTGATCTCTAATGAATATTTTGAAGTACACAGTCAATTTTTTGGTTTTTAGAAACAGTAGGGACCTATCGTAGTTTCCAGTAACTCATTGATCAGTTAAAATATTGATCACTTAAAATATTAACTTTAGTATTACTTAAAGTTTTGATCACCCCACTTCCAGGTGTAAGTTCACTTTATTTGGTTCCGTTCAACTTAAATCAGGTCAATTTTGCCCTTGATTTGCATCATGAATTGAAGTAGGTCCATTTTTCCCGAAATTGTTCTTCATCAAAGTATCGTTGCACTGTTTCTCTGAATGCGCTTTCTATTGCATTGGTGCTACGGATGACGTCAGTTCAAGGCCATCTCAAATAGTAAAGGTGTGCTTCTTCGGCCGATGTTGTTAATAGCTCTCCGCTATGAGTAAAAATGTATAGTAATAGATACAACGTTTATAAGAAGGCTTGTCTGGCATAACTTTAACCTACTCTTGGGCTTCCGACAAACTGTCGAGTGACTTGAGGCACTCATCATAAGCCGTTTATTGAGATCATAGTTTCTACAATTTCTTTCACAGCTCAATATTTTATTGCACTGCAGCCATGGAGCAGGAGTTGCAATAGAGCTATATTTATGCCTTCAGTAATTAAATAAGTTTTTTGAGAGTGTTTCAAGATTGAAGCAGAAATGAATTTTAAAAAAAAACTGGAAAATAACTGAAGGAAATTTGGGGCACTAAAAAGAAGATTAGTTAGAAGCCTTCAAGAGGGATTCAATTATAGCCTAAACTCTTGCTGATTTCTAAGGGTAACTAGAAATCTTTCTAAACTGGTACACTTTGTGGTGAGGGGTCGAGAATTTCAATTACTATTTAGCACCAAAGTAGAAAAAGTACAGCTGGAAAGTTTTGAAGCTTAAAATTGTTTCTGATTTTTCTTTAGTGGGCAAAAAGAGTTTTCAATTATTTCTCATCTCACTTGTTGATTTTTTGAAAAGTTATGAATACTGATAACACTATGAGACCAAAAAGACCAAAGATGAATGGTAAAAAATGTTATTTGATTATAACTGAAAGATTTCAAAATCAAAAATTTTCCTAGTGCTTGTGGCCATTTTTCATAATCTCTTCTATATTTCTTCTGGTCTTCTATAAACTTTTCTTTTCAGTTTTACCCTAAAATGTCAACTCATGTTTTCAAACTGGCTACAAATTGTGCGAAGTCATTTTGAGGGCTATCTGATGTCTAGTTGAAAATAGCACACGCATTACAAATTAAATTTTTTTCAATCAAGAGGGCCATGACCCTAGAAAAAGGTTTTATGTTTTGCGGAAATTCTGTTTTTCGTCGAAATCAAGAGTTCCAGTTTTTCAAAAGAAATTTCATTTCCAATTTCTTTTAAAATCCCTCTTAATCAGTGTCCCTTGATCTGCTGAGCAATTTTAAGGTTTTTATTCAAATTTTGAAAAAAAAGATCTGTTTTTCTTACGGTTCTTATAAAATTTTTTAGTTATACTAATTTTCTGTTTTTTGCCTCAGTTGGTTTTTAGCCAAAAATGAATACCCAAGAGGGCAAAGTTTTAAAGAGAGAGATATCAGAATTTGTTAAGAGAATCAAAACAAATTTGCTCGATTCGCGAATAAAATAGTAAACTTTTTAAAATAAATTTCTTTTCGAGAGGAAAGCATGTCTTAGAAGAAAAATGTAATTGGGCTTTACTATTAAAAAAGTATTTTCATCTCACACTTTCTCAGCCAAAATTTAAAAAAATTACTCTTTTTCCGTTTTTCAGTTTTTGGTTTTTATTTTTTTTCGTAAAAAGATTCAGAGCAAGTTCTAGTTTAACTACTGAGCAAAAAAGAGAAACAGATGAATTTTCTCCATGACAACAAGTAAAACTTATTTCAAATCATATCGAAAAGACTGAACAAATGAAAAAATTAGAGAACAAAGCTTGAAAAAGGTTGAATTCTTAGATTTGCTGAATTCGAAATTTCGATTTTTGTGTTAATGTGTTATAGAAAGTTGTATTTGTAGGGCTTACTGAAATGATAGCTGGAGTCAAAAAACCAATGGAGTCCGCCTTCTGTAACGAAAAGGTGCGTCCAATTAATGAAATAAATGATGTAGAGTTGTAAAAGCTCGCATATCCTTGGTTCAGAAGACATTGCTGCCTGAGTAACCCAAAGGTTTAAGCGCTCTGCATGTTCACGAAAAACAACCTTCCCGATTTTCGCAGTCATACGCAAGAAAAATTCTGGGACACATTTTGAGCATGGTGGTGTCGTTTTTCTCAATCGCAAATCTCTCGCTAATCAAACAACTCCCGTATTTAGGTTTTCATTTCTGTTTTTCGAAGTAAATGAGACATTCCAGAAATAGTTCGGTAACCTGATATGGTTTATTGTTGTCCAAATTTTTTACTCATTGTCGTCGTTTTTACTGATTGTCGTTTTATCGGGAAAATCGAGTTGCGGTTGGACGTATGATAGGTTGTCTTTCTCTGCGGCTCGAAATTTGATATCATTTGTAGAGTACTTACAATAACGAAAAGATTCAACAGTTGTTTAAATAAAAAAAGTTGTATAGTCCACGTGAAATCAAAATGAAAGTATGGGTTTTCATGAGACCAGATTTAGGGTAGAACGATTGAACCAGAAAAAGTTATTAGAAGTTTTAAAGAAATTTATCAGGAAATTCTCCATAAGCCATGAAGCTTGATTTCAACTTTGTAGAGATTTCAACGAGCATAAGACACGAGCAGCGGAAGGAGATACACTCGATGATATTCCGGCTATAGAAGGGCAATTCTAATGTGTTTTTTTTGCCGCAGTCACAACCCTCTCTGTATATAAAATATGAAGCAGACACCGTAGCAAAGGAACTCATTCAAACAGATTAATGGCCAGATCGGTGTCATAACTCAACACACGTATCCTTGTCACTTTGCGCTTCACTCAGAGAAGTCAACCTTTCATCTCGCTACTCGGTCAATTACAAACGACTAGTGGGAATGCGAGTAGTCTCGCTGTGACTTACGAAATCGATACTCACAAGACTCAGGCCTGCTTTCCATTACGATCTTTCAGGATTCACAACAACCCCACTACAACATCACATGTACTTCGCAGACTCAATGAATCTACACTCTCTATGGAAAATTTAGAAAACACTACATCCATCCTTCACAACACAACTATAAACTACAAAACTTTATATTCACCGGATTGATCGAACCAGTTTAAATACTTTTCATTTTATACTTTGCTTTTTTTCTCAATGTAAAGTTTTAATAACTAACCAATCATCACCCAAAACTAAAACTTGAAACTATTCGTAGTTTCAGTCATAGAGTTCTTAATGCCGATTGAAATCAGTTGCTTTCTTCTCTTCTCTAACCTCGTGACGGACCAGGTTGTCTCTAGATATGTTGAGACTAGGAATTACTTGATAGAAGAGTACTATTAGGATCTGTTTTAGATTAAGGAGTTGTACAAACCTATCCGGCCGAAAATGGATAGCGTAACGAACAGACGGTATACCCTTATCTGAAATTACTCTATAAGAAGGCCACCCCTGACCTAAACTCAATCCGTACTTTGTAAAAACATAGCCTTTTTCGGTCTATTGTAATGATGGTTCCCCTATTCTCACTGTCTATTTTCACTTTCGGCGCGTCGGAAACTCCTCAAATTAACCTCTGTAAAACTTATCGGATTAGGTTGTTTGGCTCTGAATTGAGGTTAAATTCAATATAACAACCATTTTTGTTCCATCGGTTACCATGGCAATACGTTATAAGATGAAGAAATCACTCAAACCAGTTAGTTTTTTTTCTTAATGAACGAAATGAGAGTATTTGTTGGGATTTGATTCGAGCTCGTCGATATCATCATACGTCGTAGCTCTTCGATATGATTTGAGTTAAGCTGGTGATTAGGGTTCCATGGGGCGTCGGACAGCTATCCAGTCGGGGGTGGCGCTTGTTACAAGGGGTTATTGATATCTACTAAGTGATCTGGGTGTCTGTAGGGAATTGTGATTCCGCAGCTCTCAACACACCACCAGTCTCCTACTAGTTCAAAATACAGGTCTCCATATTTAACAGTTGCCAGAGAAAACTTCATCATTTTGTCTCCATCATGACCAAATACTTGAACTTCCAACCTAAATCAAAAAGGAACATAATAAACATCAATTAATGTGTTTTGCTTCGAAAAGTGAAAACTTTCAATTTAAACCGCGAAGTATTAAGTAATTAGGCGTACTGTGAGTCACGTATGCGACACGAAAGCAAAATACCTGGATTAGTTTTTTGTTTGCTTATATACTATAACTGCTGGATAGAATATACCTTGCGAGGTACAACGACTACGGCAACTGTCTCGTAGAACAGCCTCCACAAACTTTAGAGATAAATACTTCAATTAGTATAACACTAAAAATCTTTTTTTTTTTCATGAAAATCAGGCTTGTATCTTGCATTCAGAAGCTATTTAGCAGGAAAATTTGAGATACAAATGAACAACTTTCATGCATTTCAATGTCCCAAGAGGAGCTTCAACTAAGCTTGTGTTTATGTTTTCGTCGTTTGTGATAGATTTTCAACTTACCGCCCATCTACTCCAACCTCACATGGACCACCGCATTCCTCGCTGAGTAAGTGACAGTAGCTTGACCCTAAAAACACTGTTTCCAATTTCATAAATTCACCAATAAATTAGCTCAATTTAAAACTTAAACTCAGAAACTTGTACCAATTTGTGCATAAAACTATTTGAAAATTGAAATTTTAATTTAATTTTACAAATAATTTTTCATTACGAGGGCAAACTGTGCACTTTTTCTATGATGTTATTGCATTACAAGCAATTTTTCCATAAAATGGAACAAATGTTTATTGTGTGTTTCGCTCAACCTTTTTGTGTTTTCCTCTCTGAAACACTATAACGAAGAAAATTTTTCTCACATGAGAAAACCACCCGCATCCAGTTTTAAGCGTTAATAATCGATTATAATATGATTTTAGTACCAGTCCTACAAAATAGAGAAAAAATTGATTTTAATAATCGATTAGAAACTATTTTTCTGAAATCAAATTTTATCAATGATATTGAATTATAATTGATTATAATCGATTATCTTATCCAAATTTATAATTTAAATGTTTTGCAGAAAAATCCATTTTTAATCGATTATAAATGTTTATAATCCTTTTTGTTTGCCATTTCGTCTTCAACCTTCGACTTGAATTGCTGATTTTTTATGCTTTTCTAGACGTTGGCTTAAGTGGAAAATGGGAAAAAAAGTTATAACAGTTTTCAAATTTTTAACGTTTTTTTTTCGTTTCTTCTTGATTATAATTGATTTATGATAAACATTTTATTTTTTTCTGACCACCACAATATCAGCACACTGCTTTAGTTTCATGATTTATATAGAAACTTCATATTTCACCTACCGCGTTATTCTTTCAGCTAAAATGAAGGGATCTCTTTGAAACTTTTGTTTCGTGGTAAGACTTTGTGTTCAGGTGAACCAAAAAGTAACATCGCATGTCACTTTTAGAGATTTTTGGCAGAATAAAGGATTATAATTTTTTATAATAAGTAGTTGTTTATAAGAGATATTAAGAGATTTTTGGAAAAGTATAATCAATTATAATTGATAATAATTTATTATGATATCACAAAAAATGTTATCTTTTTAATGGATTATAAATCGTCTAAAATCTAAGTTTGGCGCTCATAATTAAATAAAATTTTGATAAAAGTATAATTATAATTGTAATAAATTTAATCTTTTTTTTTACTGAGTGCGGGCAGCAGGTTAAACAGCATCAAATTTGCAGTTTAAACTTTGTATGAGATACGCTAAGTCAGAATGTAATCACTGAAAATCCTTGACACTATGGTAAAAATTTAGAGTTTTGCGTATATACCTCGCACTTCAAAAAAACCAGTGGTTGAAAGTCTTTGCCTGTTTTTTGAAATAAGTTAAGTTTATACGCTATTATCTCAAATCAAAATTTTTTATATCCTTCATCGCGGAAAATTTTCATTATGATTTTTGACTGCTTTGTGAAAAAAAAAACGGGTTTGAATCAAGTTATGGTCAAAATTTTGACATTTTTGCATGCGAAAAATACTTTTTTTGGAAATTTAAGTTTTTTTAAAATGGCTGAATTGGTTCGCCCTTTAACCATGAAAAACGTCATAAAATTTTTCAAAACTACTTGACGGCATGTTTCGATGAACTCGACTTACGCACGCTTTGCGTCCACCAACTCGGACGCGACCGAAGAAAAAAAGAAAGATTGTTTTCGCTACAAGCGTGCTCTATTTAAGTACTCTTTCAGCAAATGTGTTTTGCTCCGACCGACTCGACACAAATAGCCGAAAAAAACTTAATCAAACACAGCCGAAAAAAAAACATAATCAAGCCGAAAAAAAACATAATCAAACACAGTTTCAAAACATCCCATAACTCTGAATAAGAAATTCGGTCGAGTTGGTCAAAACACAACGCGTTCAGACGCATAGCACGTTTTGTAAGTCAGGTCCGAACAAAAAATATGTCTAACGTGTTATGTTTCGACCAACTCGGTCGGGTTTTTTAGTTACAGCTATCGGATATTTTGAAAACTGTGTTCTATTGTTTCAAAGGGCTGGTTTCGACCACAGATTTTGGGTAGAACAACATCCCCGTGTTCAAATTCCAGCCAACACTTCCTCCCGGGATATACAAAAAATGAAAGGAGAACTTACGACCAGGTTTCAGATATTTCCACATACAATACTGGTTGTATTGAATAATCCATGTCATGCACGTTTTTTTCATTAGTTTTAGAGGATACTTTTTTGCAGTAGAGAACTTGAAGGGGGGAGCATTACGAGGCCAATCTATGCATTTTGTGCATTGTAAGCGGATTTCGCAACAAGGACGCTCCCTTTGTTCTTCTTTTGTTCTTTCCTTCTCTTTGATCGTTCCAACAAATTTTTCACATGTTTCAAAGCTTGTCTCTGGAATCCAGGAACATACAGACACAAAATTGTGCTTCTATCCAGTGCACAGTTTGGCCTCGTAATGAGGGTTGGTTGGCGGACGCCTACTTTAATAAATTCGACCTCTGACGACCAAAGTGTCTCTTGTTTGGTATTATTAAAAACATCTTTATTCTAAAGAAGCCTTCTACTTCAAAAATACAGTTTTTGTGGAGCACGCGCGAAAAAAAAATGAAATTTTTCTCAAAAGTTTCCCTGCAGAAATTAGTGATTTGGGAGAGCTCAGAAAATATACATTTTGGTCTACCTTAAAAAACAGTGAGCCGTAATTTAATTTTTTGGACCCCCCCACCACCCTCGAGAAAAATCCTAGATCCGCCTCTACTCTTTTCGATCATACTTTTTGAATTCAAAGTCTTGAGTTCAAACCCTCAAAACTTCCTAAGATAAAAAAAGGAAGGAATCATTTTTGCACTTTTAACTTTGAGACTCGTACGAGTGCACAAAACGCAGTCTAAGCATTTCAAAAGGTGCTCTCAAACTGCATTGTTGTCCATTTAATTACCGTCAATTTCGACATTGAGTTACTTCAATAAAAATTAACTTGCATTGCTTCTTCGGGAAGCTGGAAAAACATTTCAGCTGATGTGAAGAGATGGAACCTGATCTAAACTATATTTTATGATTGGATAAATTAAATGTTTTACCAATGTAAAGTATTTAATATTGACCAATCATGATCCATCTAACTAACAACCCACTTATTTGTAAGTGCTGAAGTTACTTGTAATTTCAGCACCAGAGAGATTTGAATTTAACTTAGAAATTAGTTGGACTCTCCCGAGCACTTCAGCAGCCGCAATAAACCAGTATACCCTAGATCTATTGAGCCTAGCAGAGACTAGTTAAACAACCTGAGACTAGATAGTATAAGAGTAAGATTAGGATCGGTATTAGACTAAGAAGTTGCACGAATCTATCCGGCCGAAAATAAGATAGCGTGACGAGCAGACGGTGTACCCTATCCGAAATTACTCTATGAGTTACACCTCGGTCCTAACTCATCTGGTGCGACCATAAGTCTCGAACAAGACCTTACTAGATTAGAATTAACCAAAATAGATTAGAAATTAGACAAAAACATTTACAAAAATGTTATACGACAATAATTTAATTGAAATGTCTCTCCGACTCAATAGATCAGAGCCAATATTCCGAACCATAATAGAACTACCCGGAATTGGAAGAAGACCTCGAACCAAAGACGACATACGACAAAGTAGAAACTTGCCGTATAGTTATATGATAGTTCGGCAAAAGCCAGAACAAACTTTTATATTTAGAATACTACTTGCAATGAATTTAGATTTCCATTTGCAAACATAAAACCTTGAAGTTAATCTTCAAAATCATTTCAGGCGCTAAACAAAATTAATACTATACAATAACGATTGATAAAAAGATCTAAGATCGTTTTCCTAAAACTCTGCAGTATTATACAAAACATGTTTGAAAAATATTTATTGAAAAATAAAAAATAAAAATTAGTAGCATGACAATAAATGGTTAGTAATCATAAATCATCCTGTTGTTCCAGCTTCATCACCTAAAACATAACAGCAAACATCAACTCACTAACATCATAAAACACTAAATCTTTCCTTTACACAAATTTAAAACTTTATAAAAACTTAAAGTCACTTAATTTAAAATCAGATCATCAAGGCTTATCCTTGGATCTTAAATCATTTTCTACTTAATTAAATTTCAAACTTGATCATCAAGGCTTATCCTTGGATCAAACAGAACAACTTTGTTCTCCCCCACCCACTTAATTAGTGTCTAACGACCTCAAACGTCGATTCACTACCCAACCCTTTCTAAAGACCCAAAACTAATAGAAATTTTTAAACAAAACTAATCATTCAAATTAGGATAAATAGTGAAGAACTTCGGTTATTCATCCTTCACTTGACCCCCCCTCTTACCAGACCCAGGATAAATCTTAGACTTAGTAAGTTTAAAATAGTATCTAACGAACTACTCGCGTTCTAATTATACCTGAACCTTGTGGATCGATTTACTATTCTCCAACCCTTGAACACAATCACTACCCCTAAGTAAGATTAAGTAAGTTAACACCTTAGCTTATACTAGTCACGAGAAAGTAAAAATCATTCTTCGGAATCGATATACTTTTCTCTCCAACCCTGAACAAATAGACCCAGGTTAAGCTAACCAAAAAATCGTAAGAACTAACAGTTTAGGAAAATAGAAATCATTTAACAACCCTTTGCATCCGTCATTCTAAACCTTATGTCATTTAAAAACCTAGGAAATAAACAAACAATCATTTTACACAATTGTGAAATAGATAACAAAAAATACGACCTTGTAATCACACCTCATACACAAACAGTTGGATACATTCGCACAAAACGACAAACACTAAAGAGGAAAATAATAACTAAACAAAGACAAATAACACGAAAAAGATTTTCAAAAAATCGAAACGCATTTTCAGAATCAGAAACCAACAGTTTAGACGAACTTTACAAACTAAAAGAATCAATAGATAAAAATTACCCACTTCACGATCAATTATATTTTTCTGACTCAGAAACAACTTCAAATTCATCACAAAGAGGAAAAAGAAGAATAAAAAAACAGTACAAA